CCTAGCTGCTATGCCACACGAAGGAAGAAAGCACGAGGGCTGAAACACTGCCAGGTTGCCCAAGCCTAAGCAAAAGCAACCGAGATGAGGAGATTGGGTTTGAATCATGGACCTTCCGGTTAGTACATTCGCGCTTGAACCAATGGGTCATATCGGATCTCATCCCTACCAATGTTATTATGAGTAGAGTGTGACGCATCGGACGAAATGACAAACGACTACAACCAGAGCTAGGCGGTAGATAACCGGAGGAGCGAATTTGCACAAAACACGCGGGACTGTATGCGCAGAATGACCAGAAGGGTCCAGATGATATTTAAGAGGGACGGGTGTTTAAATAGCCACAGAAATTGACACATCGACCATAATTAACGAAGACTGAAACGGTCAATGTCGCCCTCGCACGTTATCATCATCACCATCATCATTACCAGCTGTAAGAACCGCGTACGTATAGTACAGTGGTTGTGGTTGCTACAGCAAAAGGTCAGTAAACCATAAATATGAGTTCCATTTGCCAGACACCATAAAAGTAAGATACAAATGGTCAGCAAGAATAAACTTTCGATCTGCTCACCTTAAAGCGTTTCGTTGGGTTAGACTTTAGCAACTTATCTAAGGTTTGGTTCTCTCGCACCTCAAGGTAAACGCTTCCACCATTACCACCTTTACCTCGAAGAGCAGGATTTCCTGAAGCTCCACAACCAGCTTGCACAAAGATGCGTAGTCGATCGATAAATGTCCGAGACATTCGGCTGTAGGATTTTCAGTCGCGGGGACTCAGGACGTAAGGAGTATGGAGCAAAACATGGTTGTTTAAAGTTCCAGTAGGAGGGATTATCCGCAAGGAAATGTCATGCTGAAATATATGGAGAAAAAGCAGACCCGTGTCAGTAAGCTCATTCTATTACACTGATCCCATGCCTTTTTTGTTTGTCAAAATACTCACAACTCGAACCTGTTCACGCTGAAAACCATACAAAGTATCCGAAAAGCCATAAAACACACCAAAATGTAAAAAACTGAACGGTGAGTCAGCACTGCCTTACGATGCTACAAACAGTGCTAGACTAACAGCATGTTGTACTTCATACACAAAATTTCAAGCACAAATCCTTGGTGGACCTAAAGGAAGATCGAATCCGTCAAATAAAAAACATGCTTGATTAACGTACAAAGAAACTGGGAGACATTAACGATGGAAACTTAGTAAGCTGCTTGGTTGGCTCAGTAATGGGCACTGAGGACGTTAGGATACACAGGGACTAGGTGTCTCATTGGTTAAAGCGCAAAATTACTGAATTTACTGGTCCGAACCCGACTTCTACATCCCGACTGCTCCTTTCTAGTCTTGGGCAACCTAATAGTACCCCAGTCCACGTGCTTCCTTCGGGCGGAATAGCAGCTGGGCACCGAGTGGTAAAGCTGAACGATTGACCCATCTATCTTATCTAGGGACTATAGCATCTGTAGTTCATGACTTGACTTGCTAGCTATTATTCTCACATGCGACCCTGTCACGTAGGCAACAGAGGTCTTGCTTCAAAGCTATCACCTTCGCTGGTTAACCCTCACTTCCTGCCTTATTGGACAATCAGATCCACCTTTCCTCGGTGCACAGATCGGGCTAACTCATTCGAAGCAAAACATTTCCCTTAACTAGGAGTTTGCTAAAGACTTCCTAAGCATGGGTATCGGATATTATGCTGGTCACATTGGTGCCAAAAATTTCCTCCATGTGACCAACGAAATAGCATTTGGTGAGACAATAACCCACAATACATAGCCACCGTTCAGCTGTAACACCGTTTCGGTGCCTAGCTGTCATGTCTCCCGAAGGAAGCACGAAAGCTGTGATACTGCAAAGTTGCCCAAGCCTAGATAGGAGCAGTCAAAATGCAGAGGTTGGGTTCAAAACACATATCTTCTGATCAGTAAGTTCGCACCACTGAGATATCGCGAGCCATCTGAATAGTCAAGCGATCGATCCAAAGTACTGGAGGATTTAGATTCAGCACTATCAGAACTCGACAACGTGATCACATATAACATGATGACTTTGATCCGGGTTACCGAAGGTCGGAACCCAGTGGTGCACCCTGCAGCAGCAGTAGCAGCACGGTTAGCAGCAATATGTTTTCCACTCATCATCATCATCATCATCATTATCATCATCATCATCGACAGCATGACATCAGTGTTCATGTTTTTCACTCGGATTTGGCCACTTTGGGTGAGGGATCTGAGATGTCTTCAGGTCCTTGAGCACCGATGCCGCAGAACTGTAGCTGGAATCGACTGGAACTGGCGAATTCACAATGTGATCGGGATACGGGCTTTTGGTGGGGCAGAGGATAATTCCCTCAAAAAAATGCATACAGCACCGCAAGCTAAGCTGACTGAGTCGCGTTGTTAATGCCGATTTACCATCTGCTTTCCGTGCCTTATTCGGAGTGGCGGGAACCCACAGGTGGACAGGACTTAATATGGCAGAAGGGAATGAAGGATGTTACGAAAAGTGTGGGTGCCGTTGATGCTGCCCGCCTTCCCCCCCATGAAATCCACGTGACCCTCTCTGTGCTTGGCTGAAGACACTAAACGATATGGCGGCCAAATGGTGTAAGTGGCGCTCATGCTGTCAGTTTCAATCTAGATTGTTTGACTGGGCGCTGGATGATGCAGGCACCTCGGATGTTTGTGGTAGGCTGGCCCCAGGTCCTCTCCTTCCATTTGTTTCTTCTTTCGACACGGCTGTGGCAGTGAGGCACCGGTATTCTCATCTAGTGTTGCTGTCGATGATAATGATGGTGATGTGTTTCATCTGTTGACATATGTCGTCTCTGCGGCAAATCAATCATCAGTGACTGAGAGTTATGACTGTGTCACAGCGTCAATGGCGGTCTTGCATCAAATCTATCGACTCCACTGAGCAACTCTCACTCTCTCAAACTGGACAAATATCCATTTATCTTCAATGCATCACAACTGACAACAAGAGACCAGTAACATATATTGATGCTTAACTACCATGATCAATGAACTTCATGATTGTAGGTGGACTGAGATACTGCTACGGCAAACAAATCTACATAGGAGGACGATTAGGGTCCTTAACCGCAAGGCAGTGGTGGGCGGCTTGAGACAACTCGAGTAGCCCAAATTTTAAGAAACAAACTGCCACTTATTCCAACCCCCGATCTGGAGGGCCAGGATACTATGTTCGTCAGACTGTTATCCATCGACCAACCTGGCAGGAGGGACTCTGTGGATGCTGCACGAGCACCCTCCAGTACAACCCAGTGCGTTACTGAGGTAAACAAACAGCCAGACCACTATGATGCCGTCTCTTGACGACGGCCATTGCCTTTAATGCGTGGCTCTGATTTCCTTATTCTCCTTACTCTAGGTGAGAAAAGCTATAGAAGCTGTGATCACTACACTTCCGTTCACTGTTTATGAGCCGAACCGAACACTTAAGATCGGCAGATTGAAGAAAACATGAACCCAAAAGAAGAATGAAGTGGGATGGGGCACGTCAACACAAATATCCCGTATCCAGCAGCAATCAAGTATCACTCAGGTATGAAGTGGACGAAAAATATGTTGGTTCACAGGCGAATCGGGAAAAATGGGGACCTCAATATATATAAATGGCCAGTGTCTAGAGAACAAGGCAAAATATTTTCAAAAAGCTTTTTATCCCACTGCCCTGGTTACCATGCCTTTCATGTGTTTCGCCCATTTTGAGCCGTGGTCAGAGGCTTTAGCCTCCCTTCAGTTCTCGACAGATTTTCTGGACAGATTTTCTCACAACTAATGGAGTTCACCACAGTTGTCCTGTACCTCCGTCACTGAGTTATGTCACCAACGTTGCAATGCAGTTATACGCCAAAGGACCATCAATCCGAGTACAGAAGTCACGTCTGTCTGAGGACGACATTTGTTATTTGCACCTTTATATTTCTTATGGGGGCACTGTATGAGAAATACTGTGAGCGCGTAAGGGTACACAGTACGCCTTCGCCTAAAACGAGGCTGTACTGTCATTGTAGCATGTAGCATCATCATCATCAAAGACAGCAACATCAGTGCTAACACTGATGCTTCACTGCCGTACAACCATGAGGTTCGTCTAGTTATCATCATCATCGTCATCATCATCATCATCATCGACAGCATGACATCGGTGTTCAACACCGATGCTTCACTGCCGTACAACCATGACTTATTTGAAAGCCTTATCGTGAAGAAAAGAATAAAGATGGATGGGGGATAGACTTAGTGCTAGCTTAACACAATCATTCCGAGGTGCCTACACCTCCAGACATTCACTCAGGCA